GTTTTAAGCCTAGCCTTCAGAGAGCACAAAATATAGAAATGCTTCCCTTGCACATCAGCTGTCCTGCTGATTTTTAATAGCATGCTGTGTCCTACTCAGCAGTTTAGCAAAGCGTCTGAGGCTCCATTTAGACAGCTTATTTAGCCTCTAACATGGAAAACGAACAATACACAAAGGACCTCTTAGCTTGCAAACAAGCTATAATAAAAACCCCATTTTGCTTCGCTCTGTTTTTTTCCTCTTGTACCTCATGTATTAAAAAAGGAGAAAATAATGAAACTGAAGTGTACGATGTCCAGTTCGTCTGAATGCTCACAGGAAATCATCATCACAGAGCCTTGTCTTTTCACTGGGAGAAAAACAAGTTAGTCGGTTAAAAGAGTTTTTGTTCGTATTTTTAGCTGCACATCCTGCCTGTCTCCAGCCCTGTATGCTGCTCCATCGTCTCATAGTGTAGGAGTATTTATAGTCAAAGCAGCAGCTATATTTTTACTTGTTTTTAGCTATGTCTGCAATTAGACTGAGCTAAAGGTTTGCTGTTTGCCAGAAAGAACAGAAGATGTCTTTAACAGTGTTTTATTTTTACCCCAGTAGAGAAGTATTCTGTATTCCTTTTGGTACAGCATCCTTTTTTTAATACTTTTGTCTTGATCTATAAAATAAACGGTCAGAAAGAAAGATGTTGGGAAGTTGGTTTAGAAAACAATATCCAAGCTTTCAAAATGTTAACATTTTCAGCCACCTGAACATGAAAAGAAGTTGAAATGACTGCAAACCTTCATATTGGTCCCCATAAACTGACTGAAGTTTCTGAAAGTTTTGTTTCTGGATTTCTTTTCTCAAATTATTAAAAAATTATCCTCTTTGCTCACAGCATTAATGGAACCAAATTCACCCCATAGATACCACTGGAAAAGAAATGGTCTACTAGAAAACTACTTTCTTTAAGTTGACATTACAGTGAACAGTGCTGTCGAAATTAATGTTTAATCCAAGCAATTAGGAAAATAACTAATAATCTCGATCAATAACATCCTGATTTGCAATTTGCTTTATTTTATAGTTAGTGATAAACAAGCCAATCTTAATAAATCAGATACATCCAGCGTTTTTCAGGGATCTGCTTTATTGAACTACCAACCACTGGTGCTTGGTGCATTTGGCTGGAGTTCTGTAAAGTCCCCTGCCTTCATGCTAAGCTAGTTACCTCTGCTTTGCTCTTCTACCTTTTTTTTCTGGAGTTTTTCTTTTGGGAACTTGACAAACTACTTGGTGCAATATCGCATTCAACCACAATCAAAGTCTGTAGGCATAAATTATTGGGAACGATTTTTGTTTAAACACCGACCGGCCATGACGAAGATGAGCTGAAATGAAATAGAAGTTACCAGCCTGTTCTCGATATGTAAGGACTAGAAAGTAAAAGTAAATAAAAAGAAAACGAAAAACAATCCATTGGATTTTGTTTCTACGTTTGAAGACGTTTCGCTTCTCATCCAGGAAGCTTTTTCAATTAAAAATTTAGCCCAACAAAGCCTTGTTTTTGCTTCGAAAACATGCAAATTGAAACAGACGAACGGGTCCACCCCACTGGAATGGGGGTTGTTTGGCTTCTTTTTAGCCTGCAATGACCTATACCTGTCTGTCTCTGAAAGGGGGGTTGTTAAAGGGAATTGTTGGCCTGGCTGAATAGGCGAGGGATAGGGCTGCGATGATAGAGGGAAATGATTAACTTAATTGCTGCATTGTAGGTTTTTCCAAAAAACCTACAATGCAGCAACTGAGTTAATCCCTTCTCGCTATCACATTCCAAAGGAGTGGACCCATTCGTCCATTTCAATTTGCAGGTATAAAACCTCAAACTTTTTGAAATTTTGATTTGAAAAAGCTTCCTGGATGGGAAGCGAAACGTCTTCAAACTTGGAAACAAAGTCCAGTGGATTGTTTCTTAACTTTTCTGGAATGACTCTGACCTGGAGGACTGAGAATCTTCACCAGCATATTTAAAAAGTTAATCACCCCAATGAATTATAGATAGACAAGATCTCTACATAATTCCATAGTAACCATTGAAGATCCAAACATCGGGTGAGAACATCGGGCAGGACAACTACTGGTCACTGTAGCCTCTGTGGCACAGTGGCAACAAGAAGCTCACTGCTGATAACCTGACTCCGCCAGATGGATTTGCTCCGCATATCCATCTGGAAACCTTCCGTTGAAGTAATTTTGGGAAGGGGCGAAAATACTGGTTAGCTGATTGGCCTATGTTGGTGATAGACGGGCCAAATAAACCAATCAGATCAACAAAGCATATGACGTACTAACAGAGCGACGACGAAGAGGAGCCAATTGATAGATCAAACTCTTGCCGAAACCAGTCGGGAGAAGAGCAAAAACATCTTTTCCTCTGAGAAAAGCCTCCAGAGCAGTGTTTTGCTCTTCTTTCAGTGAAGAAATACTCTGTAATTCCCATAAAACTTGCTCGATAGCCACGCTAACGCTAGTTTCATCGGCTGAAGCCGCCATGTTCTTTAGACTGAACTGTCGCGCTTCTCGTTGCGTCACACCTCAACCCGCCTCAAAGCAAACGCTGATTGGATGTTCGTTTGGTGAACGGCTCCAAATTTTCTTTAACGGAGAGTCTCCAGACTGATCTGGGAGTGAAACCTTGAAAGTTCGCGAGATCAGGATGGTCTGGCGAGGCTACACTGCTG